AACAATTGAAAGTTTGTTGAAGAAATACAAAGTACACTACAGCCTCTGGTAGGCTATAATATCAGGAATTCAACATGCTTCATCAGATGATTTGAAATAAAGACAAGCTGAAACTTTTTCCCACTGCAATAATGATTATTTTATTATGAACAGAGAACTTTAGCTGATGTTTTCAAACAGGCTATAAGTGTGATCTACCAGAGGATTTTTATTATTTTGAAAATTGAATTCAAATACTTTGGGTCAATGTGTGCCAGACTCTCCAAGATTGAAAATGTCAGTCGTGGACTAATGTGCTTCAAGCATTAATCATATTTTATTGTAAATATCTGACATATCAAACCTGAGTTATTGTTTGGTTAAGAGACATAATACAATTTATTCACCATTCAGTCCAAAACATTTGCACACACTATAGCCTCAAAGAACTCCTCACCTAGAACTGATCTAGAACTACTGCACCACCCAGGTACCAAGTACTTAAAACAATGCCTTTGATATAATTCATTTCCTGTTGCCTGGCTGTTACATTGGACTTTTTCCATTCTTGTTTATTATTTCATATTTTTAGTCTAATATTATTTGATATATGTTATGATTTTATAATATATGTATATATTATTTATATAAGGGGGCAGTGTGGGTCATATGCCTTTGTGCCCGAGTGTTCCCTTGTTCCTATTATCAATATTAATGTTAGTCTTGTGTGAATGTTACAGCATCTGTGTCAGTAAATTGTTCAGCTGCTTTAGACTGGCCAAGCTTTTTGTCAGGACATCGATACAATGAACAATAATGGGTATTGAAAATCATCCGAAAACCTGGAATAATGAAAAGTAATTTGAGACTGGAGTTGAAGTCTGGGAGTCTCATTTTCTGTCCCTTCCTTTGTCCCAGGGGGTAACTGAGGAGAATTTCACAGCTTTCACACACTATAGCACAGGACAGGCATTTATACTGTCCCAGGTCTCCTAAAAGGTGAAGAGTTTACTATTCCAATAATTCCACACAAGGCCACCACTGGATCATTTTTATTAGAATAAAACGATTAAGTTCTTAAACTGGCTTACGGGAATTGCTCTCATGGCATTATTTTCTGATTCAAGCCAAAATATTGAAAGGGCATTTCTTTTGTCAGCCAAGTGACATCAAGGGAAACATAACTTTCAGTACAACAAAGATTCACATTTCATAATAACCCATTGAACTAGCAGTTTCTGTGAAGTATAACAAAACAGTGAAGCTCTAAGTATGCTAAGTACACTGGTATATGTGTAAGTAATCACTGTTACTTTGTCTGTATGCTAAAGGGAATGTGAGCACTGGCCTGCTGAGCTCTGTCAAAACCAGTGACAAAATGGGCGTCTTCAGAGAGTCTATCATATGTACAAGTAAGTGCATTTTATACTGCTCTTAAAGCTTTGACTATGCTTTAAATGCCTTTTGGTAAAATGAAATTATCAATGTATTTAGACAACATTTAGAAGGACACTTTGAAGTCCTTTTTTTACAATCCAAACAATAAAAAAATGCGTAACACTTAAAAAACTTGGAAGTTATATCAGCTATTAATAGGGACTGGAACTGAGAACCGAATCTTGTAGAGAATCAGTTCCCAGTGGTTCAGTTCCTTGGAAATCATAAGTCTGATATCACTTAACGTTTCCACTTACAATCAATCGGCTGATTTCAGTTTGCATGCCAAAAACAGTGGTCCAGTCAACAGTGTGGATATGGACATTACATTTATTTTTAAAAAAGGAAAATAGCATGGCGCTTTGCTAGCATGCTAATGCTAAGCTAGCCAAGAACCAGAGTGATGCTAAAGCTGAATGAATTCCGACCCCAGCCCAGGAAATAACCTGAAAACCTGGACTTTAACAGGTAACAAAAACAGTGATGAGCAGTCAGGCATGACTGACAACAGTTTCTGCCTGTTCAAGTCTCTTTGTGCTAGTTACCTTACAATATAAAGTGCCTTGAGGCGACTGTTGTTGTAATTTGGCACTACATAAATAAAATTGAACTGAATTGAATTGAGTTTTCATCTTTGCTCTGTGCTGTCAGCTGTAAAAATCTAATATTTGCAGTCGCAGTTCGTGTTTTCAGTGATTATTGTTAGTCATTCAAATAACCTGTGAATGCCTTTCTAATTTCTTATTAGGAGGTCCAAGTCCGAGTCCAAGTCCGACTCCAAGTCTAAGTCCAGCCCTCACACCAAGGACTTTTCTTCTTGGCTTGATGTTCGCCTTCGCCTGTCTGCTGCCTTCAGCAACTTATTTATAGTCCGGAGACTCAACCACACCTTGTACCGTCAGTGGGGTTACATGACCTTAAAAAGATTGTAAATAGAATGTCTGTCAAATGCAACAGTAATCATCAAGCGAATGAACACAATCTGTTACATTGAAAATGATTTTTTAATCAATGAAGATTTTCCCTTTTTTCATTACTTTTATAAAAATCTAAAATCTAAATATAAAAATAATAATGGTAGGTAACAAGGCTTAGGTAACAGGTAAGAGTTTAATGTTTAGAAATTTCTGCAAACTAGATTTTTTTTTCTATTTATGTCATTCGGTTTCTTTAATTGGTGGGTGGTTTTATTGTGTCTTCTGACCTCCTAACTTTGTTCTTCATGTATGCACTCTCCAAATATCCATGTGAAATTTTGTGTATATCTTGAAAATTGTGAATAAAGTACAATAATGTTTGGATGTCTTGTCAGTTTCCAGAGTAAATGTGTTTAAATTACAGATGCAGTTTTTAACTGGACAGTAATTCTGTTAAGATTTGCAAAATAAGATTTTTTAACTTTTTCAATTCATTCCAGCAAAACAAACCTCCAAATAGCTGCAAAATGTCTAATGATTAGGTTAAATAGACTGTAGTGTTATTCCTTTTATTAACATGGTGTCCAGGTAAAGTGCATATCACTTTTCCACCCATTCCCTCACTCTTTTCCACACATTCAGACAGTTTTCCACATTTTGATTAGTTTTAGTTTCAACACGTGAGCATCACGCAAACTGTCTGGCTCAAAAACCACATGAATTCCTGCTGAAACTAAAAGATGATGATCACAAAGAGCAGAAACTGACACTTAACTCTTTAAAAATATATATATATTTTTTATAAGTTTAAAGGCTGTGAAATCAACCTCGAGTTTCCATCTATGTGGGTAAAAAGTTGAAAGGATTGCACCAAAATAATATACAGTATTTCAATCATTCTTAAAATTGGATCATTTAAGTTTTTCAAAAGTTTCAAAAAAACTCCCCAAAAGGCAAAGGTTAAAATATCAATACTATTCAATTCAATTCAATTCAATTT